TCCGAGAATATAATATAATAACAAAGAATCGATCCAAAACACGTGAATAAGTATACACATGAAAAATGACCTTGTCCGCAATTGGAGAAATTCGCATAGTAAGAGTAAAAGTTAACCAATCAGCGAATTACATTACAATGGAGGCAGAAACAGACTATTAGTCATACTGTAAAAATAATGTGGAAATGACACGTTAAAATGTTCAGATCGATAACAATGTTTTATACAAGACTAGGGCATCACAACACTTCCTAACACGGTTATTCAGGTTTCTTTCCACATCTCTTTCAAAGACTTCCAGTATTCATCCACACAGGTTTCTTCAGAGATGTTCCTCAAAATCTCCCATTTTGTCTTGATGGCTGTCTGACGTGAAGATTTCCTTTGTAGTTTCGTCCTTTAGTTTCCGAGTGTTGTACTTGAACTATGGTCTATCACCAGCTTCCTTGAAGGCTTTCAACTTGATTTGGAAGCTTCCTTGCACTAGATAATGGTGTGAACCTACATCTGCTCATCTTCTTCACCTTGTGTCCAGTAGGCTGCATCTCCACTTTCTTCACATTGAGATGAAGTCGATCTGATTTTAGTGTGTCCTGGTGTCTGGTGAAATCCATGTAGCTCGCTTTGTGGATATCCTGGTGCTTGAACACACTGCTTCCAATCACCAAATCGTTGAATGCACAGAATTCTGCAAACAATTCTCCATTCTCGTTCATCACCTCACCGAGCGCTTCTCGACCCATGCTCATGGTTAGTTCTCTTCCTATGTTGTCCACTCCCAGTTTGGCATTCATGTCGCCCATTAGTATTTTGATATCACCAACTGGGGTGGGGTCTTGTCCAGTGTTGATGCAGTTGTCTGTAGAATTGCTCCTTCTTCTCTTGATCTACATTATTTGTAGGTGCGTAGCGTAGCATTGTATAATTGTGACCTTCCTTCCTTTTGAGTTGAATCTTGCTGTCATGATCATGATCCTGCATGAGGAGATTGGTTCCGACTATATGAGACAGAGCCTTCTATGCTCTTGGGGACATCACGATAGCCACTCCATAACTCAGCGTGCTCCTGTTGTCGTCTGGGTGACAATATCGGATTAGATTATTGACTCTCCAGTTGACAGTTTGGAGAGTCCACTTCCATTCAATCTGCTTTCGCAAATTCCTAGCACTTCTATGCTATACCTTCTCATCTCTTTCGCAATCTGGGCAGCCTTGCTAGGTTCAAACAAAGTGTGGACATCCCATGTCCCTATGTTTACTTTTGCTTTCATCGAGAGAGGGGAAGATATGTTGGCCACTTGGCTTCCCGAAGGCTTTCACCAACTGGCGTCATTTCGTCTCCTCGATTCCAGTGAGAAATAATTTTTTTTTTATTTTTTATATTTTGTTTGTGCTTTGAAGTTATTTTAGCGATTGCATTGGATTAATTCTCCGGTGTGAGGTTGGTAGCCCTATGCCCGATCTTCTCTCTTTATCCGGGTTTAGGACCGGCTAGTAACTAGTGAACTTGTGAACTAAGCGAGGTTATATATATACATATAACTTTCGAAGCCCTGAATATTTTAACGTCACTTACTATAAACAGAAAAGAAGGAACAGACTTGTCACCCATTTGACAAACATTTATTCCACACTAAACATGACCTTTTGTAATTGAAGTTTCAATAACAATGGCAATTATTGACGGTTCATCAATAGAAGTACAAGAAACAACTCATATTCTACAACATACTTAAACACACACACTACAACTTCCTACATTTTTGTTGACAAATGACAATAACAACAAGTGTGAACTTGTAATGACCAATCTGAATTACTCAGGTTGGACAGAAAACCACTCAACCAATGATCTATATTCACTAAATATTTGATATGCTATTTGACCATCTATTTTGATGTTAATAGAAGTCTATATATATACCACTGAAGAAGCTGTGGCTAACACAGTGAAATGTTCAAAAATATCTTGTTTCGGTTTTCTAAACACGGTAGAGTTGTATTAAAATGTATTCTCGTAATAATTCTTACAATCTTTAGTATGATTGCTTGTATTACACCGTCGTTGATAGGACCGAATTGACCAGCCTCTGTTGGCATATGGGCTCCTATGCGGATGCCTCGACATGGCCTGTCTTTTAACTGTGTTTAGTAATGATGGCAGTGGCTAGCAGTGGAATCCAGCCGCTACCCATCATTACTATGCATAATTAAAACATAGGCAATATCGAGGCATCCGAACAGGAGCCCATATGCTAATAGAGACCGATCAATCCAGTCCAATCAACCAAGGTATCATAGAAAAACCTTTATACATTGTCAATGGGCGAAAATCTCAGGTCTGCGTTCACCTATCTATTAGAAATAACACTCATGTCCAATAAGACAGTCTAGTGAGCAATGTTAATGATAAAAGTACTTCGTGAAGACAAGTCAATTGCTCGAATTCAGCACCCTTTTCACATGGGGTGTTTTTTAAATTGTCTCTTATTCGCCTGCAGTGTCATTAGGACAGTCAGACAAACATATTATTTAAACTCATGTACAGTTTTGTTGTTAATTTGAGTCATGTAGAAAGCCGTAAGGCGTTCGGTTTGAACTTAACTAGGGAACTGAGAACGTTGCGTGAATATTTTATACAGAAAGACGAAACCGACATAGAGACTTCCAAGTATATGCATCGGTTAAAGTTGCCACACTTTACAGCAGTATACAAAGAACGAATGGACTGGAAATGATTGATATCGGAATAGATAAAGGTGTATGGGAAGAAAAGGAACTTGAAAATGAAGGTTAGTCAAAACATACAAGCTATAGAAGGCATCAAGGAGTGAATACATACGTGTCATTCTGACCGATTTTCAGCCATGTGACCAACAGTTCGCAACCACTGTTTCCTTTCGTCTCCAGAGACACAAGCCAGGAAAGCTACATCTCCACAAATAGCTCAGATCAACAACCAGGGACTTCATGAAATAAAGCCACATATTGGTTTCGCCAGCACGAACCTCCTTCGAATTCTCCTTCTTGTCAGCAGAATATATAGACTTCTATTAACATCAAAATAGATGGTCAAATAGCACATCAAATATTTAGTGAATATAGATCATTGGTTGAGTGGTTTTCTGTCCAACCTGAGTAATTCAGATTGGTCATTACAAGTTCACACTTGTTGTTATTGTCATTTGTCAACAAAAATGTAGGAATTTTTGAGGGGTTGTGGAGATTTGGAAATATTTCAAGTTGTTATTCATCGAAGACTGACATCAGTTGGAGGAACAAAGGAAACCTGGAAGCACTGGACAGCTGTTTCGTCCTAGTATGGGACTCCTCAGCAGCGCGCACCCACGACCCCACCAGCAGGGATCGAACCCGCGACCTTCAGGTTCCGCGACCAGCGCGTTACCATTGAGCCACTGGGTCAGAATCCAATGCTCCATATTTCCAACTTCTGTTAGCTCACGATATAGCGCGAACCGCCACCCAATGTCATCGTTGAGTATCTGTCCTCACGACCATCAGGCTTTGACTCCACCGGTCACGACTTGTCATTGGAACTTCGGAAGGAAGTTGTAGGAAGTAGGAAGTTGTAGTGTGTGTGTTTAAGTATGTTGTAGAATATGAGTTGTTTCTTGTACTTCTATTGATGAACCGTCAATAATTGCCATTGTTATTGAAACTTCAATTACAAAAGGTCATGTTTAGTGTGGAATAAATGTTTGTCAAATGGGTGACAAGTCTGTTCCTTCTTTTCTGTTTATAGTAAGTGACGTTAAAATATCCAAGGCTTCTAAAGTTTATTTATGAGAATGGAAACCTTTTCAATCTATGTCCACATTCTTAAAGTCAATCATATTTCCACTCTGGGTTTATATATTAAAATACTTTCTTATAATTATTAGGAATCTTTGAACTTAGGAATTCTGTTTTGTTGCCATCTATATAAATTCCCATAATCAAAGTAGCAACTCATTGAATAACCCGTAAGCCAGTACCTTTATTGTCCAGTGGTAATGGTATTCACTAACACTGGAGGCACAATGTTTATAAAGATTAGTTTTATGTTGACAGTGCTATTTACCGAGTATTCCACAAATCTAGCTTTGAGAAAACTCATTCTGCACCCTTTACTCTATACGGCTTAATTGGGAATCTGTCATGATCAGCCTAGGTTTCATAAAAAAGTTTCAAAGTACTTTCTGGTGATGGCTTGAAGTGTGTCTGGTTGATTCAGCAATTTGAGTTGACGTTTTCTGTAAATATATTATCATTAACCTGCTTTCTTGAAAGTTGATATTGTCGAACTTTCCTGTGTTTTTCATCGACTGATAAGTTACTTCAATTTCTGTATACCTGATTATTAATGATTGGTCTGAGTGCTAAATATCTGGGAATTTTGTGGCACTGTCTACTTTTTTTTTCTGTTCAAGATTTCCAGCTTTGCTTCGTCACAAACCTGTCTGCACATATTTACGTTTGTAATAATTGTGTTATTTAGAAGGACGATAATAGCTTCACACATAAATCGTTCAGCACAGTGAACGCAACATCTCGAAAGTCATCTTCCTGAGCTACAAATAACTTTCATGATTGTAATCAGACTTATGTTCTTCTAAAGATTCAAACGTGTATCACTCAGTGCTAAACTTAGTAACTTCATTACTAAGCTATTTGCGTCAGGCTTTACCCCTATGAGCCAGATTATGTACAAGATTAAGGGGACTGAGTATTATGCAGCACATCTTTAAGCAGTTTGGCGTACTGACCATATTGGACGCTTGATTGCTTGACTTTGATCGAATCATAGAACAAGTTAACTACATTACTGGCAATCCAACAACTGATTCTTATGGCCAAGATAAACTGTTTTTTCAATGAATTTAATTTAAAGTCTTTTTTTAGACCATAAAACTTGAAATTATCATTTAGTAGATTTGATCACTTATTCGTTTTGAAAGTATACCTGAAGGAATTTTTTTTATTGATTTCCAATTAAATAGGATATCAATACGGACTATCATGGGAAACATTAGAAAGTATTGCTCGTCAAGGATTAGCTGGTATTGTTGTCGGAGAACTTGAATTATTATATGGACTTCAGTTGGCTGGTTTAAAACCACGTTGTATTTTGTGTCTGCCAAGTAAACTTTCAAATCATGAGACAAGATTACGAGAAAATTTATCTCAATTAGATATTAATCAATTTGAAGCCTTATGTGATAACTGTATTTTGGAGACTTCTTTACAAAAATCCGAACAATGGATTACATGGTGCCTTGAAAGAACAACTCAGTTGTATCCACAAACACATCATGATAATCCAGGCATGTTTGATGCAGTTCTTTTTGAAGATAGCACACAAGAATTATTTGAACAATTACTGTCATTGGTTTTTGACTATTTAGGTAAGTGGTAGTAGAACTTTGAATAGTGCAAGTATTGGATTCCTTCATTGTAGTTCTATGGTAGTTTCCTTGTCAAATTATCATATTGAATTTTGAGGGAGTTGTGGAGATTTGGAAATATTTCAAGTTGTTATTCATCGTAGTCCCATACTAGGACGAAACAGCTGTTCAGTGCTCCCAGGTTTCCTTTGTTCCTCCAACTGATGTCAGTCTACGATGAATAACAACTTGAAATAATTCCAAATCTCCACAACTCCCTCAAAATTTAATTGAACTAGTGCTCATTGGTGACTAGTTTCGAGAAGTATTCCCGAAGTTCCAATGACAAGTCGTGACCGGTGGAGTCAAAGCCTGATGGTCGTGAGGACAGTTACCCAACGATGACATTGGGTGGCGGTTGCGCTATATATCGTGAGCTAACAGAAGTTGGAAATATGGAGCGTTGGATTCTGACTCAGTGGCTCAATGATAACGTTCTGGCTATGGGACCTGAAGGTCGCGGGTTCGATCCACGGTGGGGGTGGTCGGTGCGCACTATAGAGGAGCAATATACTAGAATGAAATAGATGTCCAGTGCTCCCAGGTTCCGTTTGTTCCTCCAACTGATGTCAATCTACGATGAATAACAACTTGAAACTACCATGTTGTTATACTTTCGACAAAACGAAAAACTTGAAGGTCAGATTCATCAAAGGTTGGAAAACTAAGTGAAAAATGATATTTGTTACATTCAACTTTCTAGTGATAAATAGGTTGATTCTGAAAATCTTCTTGCCGTTGAATCAAGTTTTTGAAAGGAATGCAGTACTACTTGGTTATCGATTAACTATGTTGTATTTTTTTCACCGCTTGTCGAACTCTGAGAACCGCTTACGAAACAAATTAACAAGGAAGAAGTTATCAATAGAAAGCCTTGCTTGAGATAAGTTTCATGCTTTCGGCTATCCACGCCACCGATAGTAAGAAGATTGGTGTCAGTGAGATGGTCTGTGAAGTAGATAGTATGCCGACCACCAACTTTCACAGAGAGCAATAATGCTGAGTTGAACACTTCGAAAAGCAGTCCAGCTGGCCTGCTTCTTCCGTGACATCGATCTCAATGTCTTGTGTTCGATTTTCGGTTAACGCCGGTCTACCTAATGAAAAGGATGTTCGTAAGAATGTTCAAGTTCTAATGCACCGCAAGGTACTTGGTCTAGACAACCTATTCTCGGCTCTTTCGAAGGTTGTAGATACACTTATCGCGTGTTCCCCATCTGTCAGATGCTTGAACTTCGTCACACGTACTGTAGTTTAACGAACACTGTATTCATCAATGTTAGGGTGGTCTTCGATCTGTTGGATAAGGCTTTACTCTGGAGCTGTCTGTTACAGGAAGGTGTCCGTGAGAAGTTAGTTGATATCTTGAAAGCCCTATACTTCAATACCTCAGGTAAAGGGTTATAGCCACTTCGCCCCATTGTTCCAAACTAGTAGTGTATTTAGGCAGGGCTGCTCGTTTCCACTATCACTCTTTAGCTCCACCGTGAACAGTATTCTCGAGATAGCTCCGAAGGAGGTGCTTGATGGTGAGGTAGACTTATTATCGGATGAAAGATATTCGGACCATGAGTAGGCAAACAATTTCTTTTACTATAACGGCATACAGGCTATTCAAATAAAATTCAATCGGTCAACAATCAGGATCCGTAAGTATGGTATGTGCTTTGAACCATCGAAGTGAAAAGTGCTTCTACGAGGTTGCGAAATCCTGTACTGGCAGCACCTCTAGTGATGGTGAATCACTGGAGGTTTTCGAAGCGTTTACATACATGGGTAGTTGCATGAGCACTGGAAGAGGGGCAACCCACGAGAATTCCAACAGTATATTGAGAGCCAGAATGGCATGGACCAATCTGGACGACACTTAATGCCGCCATGGTGTTAACCCTGCTGTTAGAGGTTAGGTATAAAGCGTATCAGTGCGGTCAATTCTGCTCTGCACCTGTGAAACCTGGCTTCTCTGAGCAGAGGATGCCCGATGACTCCGCGTTTTCGGTCACCACTGTCTCCACAGAGTTGCCCGCATCCTGTGGAAATGCTATGTAATTAATTCTGAGTTGAGGGTGGCACGTGTTTAGCTGTGATGGGTATCCTTATTCCTTGGGTATGGTCACCTTGAAAGACAGACTTAATTGACTCGGACGTTTGTTATGGATGTCACCCCAGTGGCTTGCATACCGCTCACTGTCCACTTGTCCTAAGACGTAATGGAAGAAGCGAAGAGATGGCTAGTTTGTGGCATGGCAAGTGGGATGAAAGATAACTGTTTTGGGTTAGGATCTGTAGGTGCTCATCGACTCGCTGGTTGAGGTCCCTCAGCTCGTGGAACTCAGTGACTTGGAAAGTTAGTAGAGATGACTCGGAATCAAAACCACTAGTGATCATATTGGAGTTTTCGTGTTTCTTCTGTTATTGAAAAGTGATACAAAGGTAGTAGGTGCTTCTTTGAATGAATCTTTGAGACTGCCTTTTTGTAAACCATTTCTACTCTTGTTTGCATCTTCGCCTCCATTTTCTGAGTCTTTAAATCCTCACTGTATGGTGCATCTCTTGGTGACCATTTTGTAACAAGCTTATGCTTTGAGAGAAATAAATTTTACACTCATCAGCAAGATAGATCTTTAAAATCGTCAGAACTAAAATTTCTTTACATATTCAAAACAAATCGACTTAGCCTTGCAGAAATGACGTTACTGAAGACATTTTTACGCTACAACTAACCTTCTACGGGACTGATCTAGGTACTTTAATCGACCACTGGATGTTAAGCCATGTCAAACTGACTAGTTCCCATTTATCGCTCACTAAATTTACTGTATTCTCTTGCAATTTGACCACTAAGCCAGATGATGTGATTCAGAGGGCGTAAAAATCACGTCGGACGGAAGACACGTTACTTATGATCCATGGTATGTATAACAATACAGTGCTCTGACGAGATACGATTAACGATAGAACAATGACTTCTCAACTCGATATTTAGCTGACATCAGAAGAAGACGATGGGACTGAAAGTATATTTACTTCAATCGAATAAAAATAGCAGTAAACTCAGTCGTTTATACATCCTTAGATGGCCTTGACCAAGGGAAACAAAATGGACCAATCAACGTTTAGTATTCCAAACTGCGGTAAAAATAAGTAACCTAGCACGGAGGGAAAAGAGCGCGAAAATAAGATCTACATTTTACGATGATAATATAAACATATTATAAGTTAGTTTACCCTAGGGATTAGGCATCCCTAACAGTTTATCTATAACCTCGCCTGGTTAACTAGTTCACTAGTTACTAGCCGGTCCTAAGCCCAGGTAAAGAGGGAAGGTTGGGCATAAGCTACCAACCTACTCCGTTAAACAAATCTAACCGCTAAAGTAACTTCAAAGCACAGACGAAATATAAAAAATAAAAAAAAATTATTCCTCACTGGAATCGAGGAGACGAAATGACGCCAGTTGGTGAAAGCCTTCGGGAAGCCAAGTGGCCAACATATCTTCCCCTCTCTCGATGAAAGCAAAAGTAAGCATAGGGACATGGGATGTCCACACTTCGTTTGAACCTAGCAAGGCTGCCCAGATTGCGAAAGAGATGAGAAGGTATAGCATAGAAGTGCTAGGAATTTGCGAAAGCAGATTGAATGGAAGTGGACTCTCCAAACTGTCAACTGGAGAGTCAATAATCTAATCCGATATTGTCACCCAGACGACAACATGAGCATGCTGAGTTATGGAGTGGCTATCGTGATGTCCCCAAGAGCATAGAAGGCTCTGTCTCATACAGTCGGGACCGATCTCCTCATGCAGGATCAGGATCATGACAGCAAGATTCAACTCAAAAGGAAGGAAGGTCACAATCATACAATGCTATGCAACTACAAATAATGTAGATCAAGAGAAGAAGGAGCAATTCTACAGACAACTGCTATCAACACTGGACAAGACCCCACCTCAGTTGGCGATATCAAAATTCTAATGGGCGACATGAATGCCAAACTGGGAGTGGACAACACAGGAAGAGAACTAACCATGAGCATGGGTCGAGAAGCGCTCGGTGAGGTGATGAACGAGAATGGAGAATTGTTTGCAGAATTCTGTGCATTCAACGATTTGGTGATTTGAAGCACTGTGTTCAAGCACCAGGATATCCACAAAGTGAGCGACGTGGATTTCACCAGACACCGGACACACTAAAATCAGATCGACTTCATCTCAATGTGAAGAAAGTGGAGATGCAGCCTACTGGACACAAGGTGAAGAAGATGAGCAGATGTAGGTTCACACCATTATCTAGTGCAAGGAAGCTTCCAAATCAAGTTGAAAGCCTTCAAGAAAGCTGGTGATAGACCTCAGTTCAAGTACAACACTCGGAAACTAAAGGACGAAACTACAAAGGAAATCTTCACGTCAGACAGCCATCAAGACAAAATGGGAGATTTTGAGGAACATCCGTGAAGAAACCTGTGTGGAAGAACACTGGAAGTCTTTGAAAGCTATGTGGAAAGAAACCTGTACATTCGTATTAGGGAGGAAGAAGAAAGAAGACAAGGAATGGATCTCGACGGATACCTGGAAGCTGATAGATCAGGGAGAGTAGGATGGTGAAACAGAAGATAAACCAGTGCAAGGATGCTCAACGACAAGATAAACTGAACACAATGTCTAAAACACTGGACAAAGAAGTGAAGAAGAGTGCACGGAAAGACAAAAGACACTTCTACGAAACACTGGCAAGTGAAGCAGAACAGGCTGCATGTAAGAGAGACCTGACGACATTGTATCAAATAACCAGGTTGCTATCTGAGAAGAGATCAACGCAGACGAAACCAATAAAAGATGATGACGGAAATTTAATTACGAAGGAAGAGAAACAAAGGAAACAATGGGCTGACCACTTCAAAAGCTCTTGAATCGACCACCACCACCTGCACTTCGTCCAGAAATACCACCTACAGCCACAGAA